GCTAGTCATCACCACCCACCGCCAACTCTTGGGCTACTCTTTTATCAACGAATAGTGGGATTGACCGTCACATTATAGCGCTCCCACGATTGAAAGGGCGAGCATGTTTGGTGGGATGGGGATTCGAACCCACGACCCTCAGATTGCGAGTCGAGTGCCCTAACCACCTGGCCATGGACAATTGAGTCAAGCTCGTGAATCGTTCGTTGTGAATTATAGCGTTTGTTTAAGTTAACTGACTGTGGGAATTAAGTGTATTGCAAAGTTGTATTGAGAAAGAATAAACTGGTTTTATTTAAGGAAGGACTTGTATTGCTGAAGTTTTTCGGAAAGAATTTCTACGGAAAATTAACAAACTAACACATAGATATAACAATATTATACATTGTACAAGTTGAACTTTCACGAATTCGGCGCGAATTGGGTAATGCGGGTCATGGTGCATCAATGTGTACGTCATTGTTCATGTATCATGCCAGTTTTGTGCGTGCGTGTGTGTGTGTGTGTGTGTGTGTGTGTGTGTGTGTGTTTATGTAATCTGAACAGTTTTGTGAATTAAGAATAAAATAATTTAATAATAAATACGTTCAGATAGTTACGGAACTCTGGTCTAGTGATAGTAGACTTGTAATCACATGAGCGCCAGAAATACGGCGATGAAACTAATTAAAACTCTTGAGAATCCAGGACAGGCGTAGTAAACCGCTGGGAGATTTAATACTTGTTCCAGAAACTCCAAACAGAGCCTCCGAACAGACTGCTCCCAATGTTGACCAGTAAGAAACAGACAGTTGGAAATAGAGGAGCAAAACCGGAGGAGGTAAAGGAACAAGAAATATATCTGGATAGGAGTGTGTGTGGCGAAGTTTTGTGGGGTTATACAGCTGACAGGCCTAACAGGAGGAAGATGATGTTTAGCCAGCTGTTTTGATAAAAGAATCGTGAATAGATCCTAGTACTAGCTCAATAACATTTAGGGGTTCATAACGAACTGAATTTATTCAAACAACTTAGAAATATGAATTTTTGCCCAAGCGTTTAGGCGGGTTTGAAATTCGGTTTCGTTAACAATCAAAATTGGCGCACTATTTTCTTTTTTCTCTTTTTATTTCATATTTCAACACATATAACAAAATTCTTGATTATATGATTTTAGAACGAAATTATTTGTGAAAATTTAAATAAACAGCACCACTGTTTTATTTTATTTTGACTATTGGCAAAATCTAGCATCAGACGTTTCTAAATATACTGTTACGCCTCCGGTCGTTAGTTAATTTTCTGTAAAAATTCTTTCCGAAGAAACTTTATCGATACTAGTCCTTTCTTAAATAAAATTGGTTTATTCTTTCTGAATACAACTTTGCGATACACTTAATTTTCACAGTCGCGCTATAACAAACGTCTCACGTGCTCGACTCAACTGTCGATTACACATTACATTGTTGCCGTCACGTCTTGACTGTCTTATATATAAAATAATTCCGAAATCTAGTAAACGCTCGAGCATTCAGGAAGGGACAGGATCCTTCTAGAAGTTCATGACGTGTTACTAGCGTCACGTGACTTCCGCTGTCGTAACAATACGTTAAATTATGTATATTTATGTGAACACAGATAAATAAAGGTCAAATAACGGTCTAACTTCAAAATTTCTAAGCTCCTGAAGCAAGAAACATTTACATTTTCCCGATAAAACCCTGCAGTTCACATTTAGGCCTAAAACGCGAGTTTTCCGTTTTGCAGGTTCGTGTGTTTCTGTATCATCATTAATTTCGTTAGCCTTAAATCAAGAAATAGATTTTCCATTTGTTTACGTCAATTAATAAATATTCTGTAACATTTATATGATTTCCAAATTATGAGACAAAAGTTAGTTTAAATCGTATTTTAGTCGTTTGTCATATTCATTTATAAAACATTAAATAAAGATTCCTAGTTATGAATTTGTTTTTGTTTTAGGTAGTTACTGTATTTGCATTTAAAATAACGGAAAAATTGGAGATGAAAATGTGTGAAACCTCACCTTTTTCCAGGTTCTAAATTCTCAATAGAAATTTTATTTGTTTTTGGTACTTTGAAAATCTGGGCCTGATCCGAGTTGGTGTCACTATTGTACATCACCCGAACAACGTGAACATATTTACTGATAGGGATTGGAACTCCTTGAAGAACAAAATCTGTGGAATACGGCCCAACAATTCCTTGGTCCAGCTTCACTTCAAAGTTATATATATCTGTTGGTGAAAATAATTTACACATGAGAAAGCGTTTTATTTTGTACGCAGTTATGCTCATAGATATAATGAGTACAATTTTCTGGCTCTCAGTCCAATTGTACGCACTTCCACAAATTGTTAATAGATGACGCCACAAACAGGCAAAAAAGGTTTATAAATAAATCAATTAGGCTATAATAAACTATAATATTTCTCAGCTTAACAGTAGGAAATTTTATGTTAATATTCCAAAACAGTATCCATTCCTATTTTCTGAATTCAAATATATCAAAGAAAGCTTATCTTGTGTTAAAAATAATAGTGATATTCTATATTATTTATCAAATTTTATAACTACACAAGTAGTTTTGGGGAAGTAACCTGGGTTATAATAAGGCTAAACTGTGTAACAATACGCCAAAAACACTATATCTGTCTCTTCCAATAACGAGGAGGCCATTAGTCAAATATCAGGATTCATCAAAATGGCTGCGATACGAAAGGCAGTGCTAATCGAGGCGCTATTTATATCATCAGTCTCATGAACATCAACTGCTTTGGTTTGAACTAGATTACGTAAGTGAAATGTAATAGTTATTAAGTTTTATCTAAGTCATTTACAAATCAGGATTAAGGTAATATAATCCTAGTAATTAATAATAGCTTCCAATCAGAGTAAACTACTGTATGAAAAA